AGGCTTAGGAAATACCCTGCCTGTGTGGCTACTTCTTCCTGTCTCTATGACACAGTGTCTGGGAAGTCCAACTAAGCCATACCCCAGTGTTGGATCCAACCAACAAACTGCAACGGACTCCACAGGACATCAGCAAATGCTGTTTGATTTTGTTGATTTGGTTTGGTTTTCATATAGTTCCCACACTTATGGGATTATATCTTCCAAAGGAACAGACCACTGATCAAAGATGTGCCCTAAAATACAACAGGGAAAGTTAGGGAGTTTATGAGACAAGAAGCTATCACATGGGTTTCAGGATGTTCCTCAGTGGAATGATATGGGACCTGAAGGAAGACTAGGATACATCCAGAGTGGGGCTGAGCCAGTGACTCGGTGGGATGGTACTTGTCTACCACATGTGAGGCCCCGGGTTCAAGTCCTGGCAACACACACACACCTAAAAGGACTGAAGCAGGGTGAATGGCGCAAGGAAGAAGAGTTGGAATTATACAGTAAAGGCTGAGGTGTGAGCATGGTGCATTCATGAACTTGGAAGAGGTTCCCAGAGCTATCTATGTTTACTGATCTGCATAAGAGCAGAGAAATGTGCAAAAGATGTTATTCTTCCCACGTGGAGTTTGGAAGCAGCTAGCCAGGATGCAGCCAGCCAGCACTGTGGGAGCTCCCAGGTCACCCCTCACCCCCGAGCAGCGTGAGTCTACAGCAACCACTGCACCGGCATGGGAGATAGAACTAGAGTAGAACATGAAGTTAGCTCCTCTGCACTGGCCCACCACAAGTGAAAGACAGTTTTATAAATACTGGACAGTGTGAATAGCTGTGTGGGATTTGGGGTTTTGGGTTTTTTGGTTGGGTGGTTGGTTGGTTGGTTGGTTTGTGTGTTTTGTGTTTTGTTTTCAAGTCGGCGTGCAAACAAAGTACTGGGTTTCCTTACAGCATTTTCATCCGCGTTGATTACATTGTCCTTCCTTACCCCCCCCCCCCCGCCTGCCTCCAGGACCCCCTCTTCTTTCATATCACACAGATTTTAATTCCTTCTTCCTTCTCCTTTCCCACCCTTCTTTCTAGAGGTCTACCTTCTAGTTTTATGACTTTAGTCACATCCACACATACACAGCAAAGTAAGATCTAGGGTCCATAAGAGAGAAAGTCGCCAGGGCATACTTTTTCCAGTCAGTCTTCCTGGAAGAGAACTATAACCAGTAAGGCTTAGAAGCAGGGCAACATGGGACAGGGTCCATTTCCCTCTAGGTATGTGCGTGCTAAGAGAGAAATATAGAGCATTCTGTTGGCATAGAGAATTCTCTTAAATATTTTTGGGTCAAAATTAAACATTTGGATTGTTTCATGTTTGAAATAACATATTTTGGACCTAATAAGACTATCTTGGCCAGGTGGTGGTGGCACAGGCCTCTAATCCCAGCACTTGGGAGGCAGAGGCAGTTGGATTTCTGCATTTGAGGCCAGCCTGGTCTACAGAGTGAGTTCCAGGACAGCCAGGACTATACAGAGAAACCCTGTCTCGAAAAACCAAAAAAAAAAAAAGACTATCTTAAGGCAATGTCATATTTTAAAGCTGTCTAATCTATTCAGTGCAGGAACCAGTTTTGTCCATTCCCCCAGGGAATTGAACTCATATCCTCAGACTTGGAAGAAAGCATCTGGGTCTCCTTGAGCCATCTGATGGCTCAGTGAATGTACTTTGAAATGCCTTCTCATTGGATGGCTTTTCTTATTGACGCACATACATCTCTGTCTGTATTGGTCGTATGTGATTTTTCATATCAGAAACTGAGGCAAAGAGCTGACACTTCACAAAGGTCTATGTGTGGAGATGGCTCTCAAACTCAGATCCCTTAACTTCAAGCCCCACCCTGAGACAATTGAGTCTCAATATACCAGGGAGCTTTGCTGCCCCCTACTGGGGAAATAAGCCATTGCCCCTCATCCAAAGCACCCTTTGACTGCCCCAACTTGCTTGCACTTACACTTGAGTGTAAGACAATCAAAGGCTACATGAACAGAGCTGACGAAGCAGAAAGTAATGTGGTCAGAAGATAGCCACGCCCCCTGTGTCAGTGAGCCCCTGGACTGTTGAACATTGTGTCTAACTCCCAAAGCAGTCCTGTGAGATTGTGAGGCTTGCAGTGTGAGGATGTGTTCTGCTCCCCCCATAAGGCCCTTTAGATACCACATCTTACATGGCTTCATCCTGGAGACCTGACCTAGGTGACTCGGGAATGAATGGCAGTCGCACAAATACAGAAGAGTTGGGCTGGGGTCGCTCTGATGGAGGGAGGGCACCCACCATGCAAACCAGCATGTTTACTATGTACAGCACCAGAAGGAAGTATAGGAGGTCCCTGAAGAGGAGCAGTCTCAGGCTAACAGGAAGAGGAAGCTGTGTTCTACATTTTCTATGCACAGGTCTTTTTCAAAGGTCAACGGTCCCGTTTAACCCTCTTACTTGGGTCAAGAGAAGGCTTTGCCATTCCTGTGAGCCCAACCTGGGGAAGGTTTTGCCACTCTCACAGCTCTGAGACATCGGGTCCTTGATGTGGCTGGCAATGCTCGGGTTGGTAATACACATTCACCCAAGGCTCCCTCTGCTTCTCACTGCTGGGCAGCGCCTGAGATGGTCTCCTGGTTTTGCCTGTCTACACCATCTAGGAACTTTGATTAAGTCCCCAGTTTCAGGGCATCTGGAGTGACCAGGGAGTTTTGCTACCCCCTATTGGGGAAACAAGCCATTGGCCCTCATCCAAAGCTCATTTTGACTGCCCCAGAAGTTCTAACAGACAGTGACAGTCTAGTGTAGGTCTTAGGTGAGTACCCACTGCCTTTCTCCTTCCTGGGCCTCCTTAATAACTGAGGCTGTTGTAGCTCCTGAATGAGGGAGTATTAGACAGAGGCCAGACAGGGGAGAGGGATATGACAAAGATGGGGCTATGGAAGAACCTGGCGTTGCTCACCCAGGGGCAAGCAATAGCGCCCATTCTGCCAAAGCCATTGGAAGCCCTCCTGAGAAACAGTAAATAATTATTTTGTTCCTTTTTTCAAAAGTATATTAATAAGTTTGCTATAAAATTTGAAGGTCTGGGGTCAGCACCATGGGTCAGCTTGCTTCACAAGCTGTGGCCTGAGTTGGATCCCTGGGGCCACATAAAGGCAGGAGAGGGACATTCTCTCCACAAGGTCGCCTTTTTTGGTCTACCCATATCCTGTAGGAATCTCCAACTTAAACTGTATTCTTTACCACTTATGTTAATTTCACTGTATCTGAATGCTATATATAATGTCAACTTTACATTTTTTTCAATTCACTTTTTCAGAAAGTGTTTGAGTCTGGCATGCTGGCACACACAACATTTGGGAGACAGAGGCAGGAAGATCAAGTGTTCAAAGTGATTATGAGCTATTCAGTGAGTTCAAGGCCAGCCTGAGCTATAAGAAACTCTGTCTTGGAAAAAAATAAGTATATAAATAAAAATTTAAAACTTGTTGGTATCCTGATGTTTTTAAAAAATATTATTTATTTATTATTATTTATGTGAGTACACTGTAGCTGTCTTCAGACACATATCAGAAGAGTGCATCAGATCCTGTTACAGATGGTTGTGAGTCACCATGTGGGTGCTGGGAATTGAACTCTGGAAGTGCAGTCAGTGCTCTTAACCATAGAGCCACCTCTCCAGCCCATATCCTGTTTTTTTTTTTATCAACACTAGTTTGATAAACTATATTTTGCATACACTTAAAATATGCTTAACTATTGAAATATTTGAAGTTCTCCTGAGTAATTGCAGGTATAACTTTAACAATGGTAAAAAGGATTTTTAAAAGTTAGTATTTTTCATGCTAACAAAGATTAAAGAAATATAAGTACATGATTCTAAATGTGTGTGTGTGTGTGTGTGTGTGATTCTAAAGCATACAGGTTCATGACAGAGTTGACTCAAGTATGATTTGTGTCACAGGCCTTTAATCTCAGTACTGGGGAGGCAGAGGTAGGCAGAGCTCTGTGAGTTTGAGGCTAGCCTGGTCTACAGAGTGATTTTCAGTACACAGAGCTACGTAGTAAGACCCTGTTTGGAAAAACAAACAAACAAAAACAAACAACAGTTTGGCTTGTGAAAGTGTGTCTAGGCAAGGACAATTTTATCTGTCATTCACTGTGGCTCTCTTTCCCAAACACCCTTCAACAAGTGCATGGTGAAATCCTTAGCCAGTGTGCCTCAGTGAATTGCCATCAAGCCCAAAGCAAGGACATCTGATGTGCAGAATTGTGTACTATGAGAGTCAGTGAGCAGGATTCTCAGATCCTGTGGCAAAGACAAGGAAATCATTTCAATTTGTCGTTGGGAGTCAAAGATGGTAAGGAGGTAGGAAAGACTTAGTGGCGGGGGAGGGGGGGTGTCCTGTTACAAGATGGCAGGATGCTGTGGTCCTCGTCATTCTTCCGATGATGAGGAACCTGAGAGAGGAGATTCTTCCCTGCACTCAGTCATGCCGCCACCCGCAGGGAATACCCCGTGAAGAGTGTGTGTGTGTCACACACCTAGAACCTTTGCACAGATGGCAACAGTCTCTGTCCCTCCCATCATTTGCAGATAGCAATGTGGCACCTTGAAGCCTGGTCGTGTGTCTCTGATGCTCTTTGCCGCTCGATAATGACAGCAACATATTGTTAGATCCCGCTGGGAGTCTTCAGATTTCTTTGGGTTCACCTGCCAAGTCAAACCCGACAGCCCAATATCGGCCTATCGGCCAAGAGGCCGCCCAGTATTATTTATTTGTACGATTTTTCAACAGGAATGTTAAAAACGTATAGTTCTGAAAGTGACGCCCATTATCTGGGTCTTGAAAAATTCCGGAAATGGTGGGAAATTCATTCATTTCACACAGAACCAGCACGCAGGCCAGGTTAGGCACTTGACCAGCCACGCCCTCCTATAGTGGATGCCTATTTGCCTAGTGATATCACCTGTCCCCTGCAGGCCACCGCCACCCCGCCAGATCACAGCGCAGGTGTAGCAGGACGGTAACCTTGGAGAGACCGTGCCCTTCCCCTCTTGGCCTTGGAGTCTCCAGAGCCACCGCTGCCCTGCGCCCCTCAGGCGACACCCACACCCGGCAGCCCCGCGCCACGCCGCCGTCCAGGAGGATTTGTCAGCGCGCCCTATATAGCTGCAGACAGCTGCCATCTGTTATGTTTAGTAACACCACCCCGCGCCCCCTCCTCTGTGAACAAGCCGGCCTTGGTCATTCCGCCAAGAAGACAGTTTTAAAGGACGCTCAGTTGCAAGCAGGCTTCCCACAGCGTCCTTTCTCTCTCGGCCTCTTGGGTGCTCCCAGAGCGGGGGTGCACCCCGGCCTACGGGCAGGTGCTTACAGGAACAGACACAACGCTCCTCCCTTCCCTCCGTGGGCTCACTGGAGAGAAAAATCTGTGATGTGTGCACCATTTTAATGCATCGCATTTCAGTTCTGCAAATGCGAAGTGTAAATTGGGCTACAATACGACGGTGAATCAGACCGGCCGTCATGATTAATTTATCACCGTGTTCCAGATACATCAGCTAAAATAATGTGCATTTAAAGCATCGCTTCCTCCTGCCTTTGTGCTTGCTGGCAAACGGGAAGGGCAGATCACTAGAGGGAAAAAAAATAAAAGAAAATTTCACTCTCTTCTTGTATGTAGTTTGGCAAAGCATGGGCACATCTGAACACTTGAAAGCAGGCTCCTTCCACCGTTTAAAATTGAATTTGCCAACTCGGGGTTTGTTTTGTTTTTAATTAGTGTGTGCCATTTCTATCTTCTTCAGCGCTCATCCACACACTCTGAACTTCTGATTAACATGGATGTGAAGAAATAAGCATTTTCCCTAACCAGGGAACTTCTGGTTTCAAACTGCCTGATCTCTGATATCACCCAGGACCTTGCCCTTCAGTGTGACCCGTGAAGACACTGTACAAGCATCGCTTCAGAGACCTTAGGAAGTGTGGGCTCTCAGACCTATACAGCTCAGACACAGTAAATGGAACAGAGGCTCATTCTAGACACCCTCAGCCCCTGCTTTTACTGTTTTTAAATCTTGTTCTGGTTTTAGAAAGAGGGTCTCATTCTACAGCCTAGACTGGCCTCCTGGAACTCAGTAGGTAGCTCAGGCTGGCCTTGAACCTAAAGCAGTGGCTCTCACCTCAGCCTTCCAAGCACAGGGGTCGCAGGGATGAGCCACCACTCCTGGCTGAAACAGTTTAAAGTTTGAGAGGAATTAATCTACCTCTGGCCTGTGAGAGCTTTGTAAGCAGTCCAGGCAGTTCTTGTGAGTGGGGCAGTCCATCCCTAAAGCGTGAGGCTCAGATGATCTTTCTGTTCATGACATCACCCGAATCCATTGAACTGCCTCAAAGTACAGGGTAGGGTTATCTGTTTAGTCATCCACGAGTTACCAATGCAAGAAAGCTTATTAATCTCAGTGTCTGGTTGCATAACAGTGAATCTAGTGCTCCAATTAGGGAACTCCGCATAGACGGGCTTTCCTCTTTATGTAACTGGCACGTTCATCCTCGGGTTACAGGCGTGGGCAAACCTCTTGCTGGCCATCAAAGCCATTCAAGCGACTTCATGAAGACAGTACCTTTCATTCAGAAGGATGCAAAAGGCCTTTATAAAGATGCTCAGCGTCCTTGAGGGTTATAATCGAGGACACTGTCTGGCTCTGGGTTTGTCAATTAGAGGAAGGTGGAAACCTTGACAGTTCTGAGGAAACTCTTAGCAGTCACTTGAAAAGTCAAAACTGCAACTTCAAATTTGGGAGCATCGTCCAGAAACTGGTTACCTGTCACCATATATGTTGACTGTAGCTTGAGAAAAAAAAAATTTTTTAATGAAAAAAGAGGAAAGATGGGGGATGTAGCTCAGTGGCGTGCTCGCCTGTCTGTCTGAGGCTCCAGTTCAATCCTCCGTGTGGCATAAACCAGTGGTGGAGGCCTTGAAGGGTGGAAGCTGGAGGACCAGAAACCCAAGGTCATCCTCGGCTACAAAAGGAGTTCAAGGTCAGCCTGGGCTACATGATGATGAGGGTGAAGGTGGGGGTGGGAAGAGTAGCTAGAAGTGGAAGAAGAGTAAGATAATTAAGGTCAAAGGTTAAGATGACTAAAGGATGCTTCGGTGGCTTGGTGACCTTTGCCAATTGTCTGAGTTTCTCCTATGAGTTTCTTAGCCCACATAGGAAAAGACAACTCTGGAGGTGCCTGATGGTGATTTCTCCTTCAGGCGTCTGACTTTCTTAGTGGCTAACAGAACCTCTAGGTTCTGAGATAGCTCAGCTTTGGACCAAGTGTTCCTTTGGCAGCATCAGCTCTCACCATGCCTGACTGGACATCTCAGCCACCTGGGAGTGACTTTAAACATCCTAGCACCTATCCAGCCAGGGACACTGCCAGGCTGCCCAGGTGACTCCCATATGCTCCTCCCAGTGGGTCAACTCCAACCTGACCATCATTGGTACCACCCTGGGGGTAAGGTGATAAGATATAGGTCTATGAATCCGCAGTTTAAGGCCCGGTCAAAGTTTCTGCAGTTCTGAGAAACTCCCCTGTGCTATGAAAGCTGCCACACAGAAGCAGGGGCTGGAGTCAGGCAGAACTGGGTTTCAGAAAGAGTCTGTGATCTGATTTTCAGGCCACCTCAAGTCCATATGGCTTTGTGCCATTTGCCAACACACAAAAGAGATTACAACCATCTCACAACCCAGAGAAGAGAAAAGCAGTCCTGGGGTGTGGCAGGGCGTTTGCTTAGCTTGTGGAGAGTCCCTAATTTCCATTCCCCATACCCCAAAGAAGAAAAGAAAGGAAGGAATCAAACTCAATGAGGAATTGCCTCTGGGAAGAAAGCATTTAACTGTAAGATAGTGGTGGTGCTAGCCTATAATCCCAGCACTCAGGAGGCAGAGACAAGTGAATCTCTGTGGGTTTGAGGCCAGCCTGGTCTACAGAGTTCTTGGATAGCCAGTGCTACACAGAGAAACTGTTTCAAAACAAAACAAAACAAGAAATACATTCTCCAGTTGAAAGTGTTTGGAGGAGACCCTAAGGGTAGAAACATTTCTGGACAAGCTGTCACTTACCCCTGCTCCTAAGTCACAACTTTTTTGTTTGTTTGTTTGTTTTTTTGTTTTTTTGAGACAGGGTTTCTCTGTGTAGTTCTGGCTGTCCTGGAACTCACTCTGTAGACCAGGCTGGCCTCAAACTCAGAAATCTGCCTGCCTCTGCCTCCCAAGTGCTGGGATTAAAGGCGTGTGCCACCACCGCCCGGCTAGTCACAACTTTTAAAGATAGTTTTAGTAGGAGCAAAGTTCTTGTTATGTGGACCTGGGGCACATGGTCCAGAGCTGGAACAGATGGAATGCTGGCACTGCTGAATCAATGGTAGTAACACTTGATCCAAAGCTGAGCTATCCAGAACCTAGAGGTTCTGTTAGCCACTAAGAGAGGCAGGTGTCTGAAGGAGAAATCAGCATCAGGCACCTCCAGAGTTGTCTTTTCCTATGTGGGCTAAAAAGCTCATTGGAAAAACTTTCAGATAATTGGCAAAGGTCACCAAGCCACCGAAGCATCCTTTAGGCATCTTAACCTTTGACCTTGTGCTTTATGACCTTGAGCTGAGCATGGTCAGAAGTGTGTCTGCCATATTTCCTCTTTGAACTGTTCTCAGGAATGAATCCATTCCAAAAGTGGGTTCCTATATAAGTACTGTGTTACTTAGTGTGTTTGTGGCTGTTACAAAATATCTGATGCAAGCAACCTAAAGAAGGGGAGACTTATTCTGGATCCCAGCTCCAGGAGATACCAGCCCATCACTGCAGGAACCTATGGTTGGCTGGGGTAGCTATGTCTATGGTAGTTGGAGCGTGCAGTGCAGCCTGTTCACATCTTGGTGGATCAGGAAGCCAAGAGCTCCAGCTAGATTAAGAGACTGATTTATACTGTTCAAGGCACACCCATGCCGAGTGGCCCAGTAAGGCCCCACATCCTGAAGATCCATGACTTCCCAAAACAGCACCAACAGGCTGTTCAAACACGTGATCCTGGGTGGAACATTTCACGTTTATTTTGAAATGAGTATATATAAACTTCAGAAATAAAAAGGATAGTGTTTCCTGGTCCAAGAAGGAATGTCTCAACTCATGGTCTACCCTGATCTGCTGCAAGTAATGAATGCTTCATTATTGTATCTTCTGACTGTGCTCCAGGGAGCACTCACCAAACACAAACACATTACCTTGCATTGCTGTTTCTCTGAATTGTAGACATAGGGAGAGCAAACTTCATGCTCAAAAGTCCATTCTACCATCAACAAGACAGAGTGTGTGGATAAGACAAAACAGACAAATAAAACTAAACTTAGAAGTGTCCACAGTTGCATGACATAAATTTGAGGTACCATGAACTTGAATCTCGATGATTATCTGCCCAAGATTGGGTCCATCACAATTTCATCATCAGTGGAGGAGGGCCCAAGAGGCTAATAAGATGCTCTTGCTACCGTAAATAACCTCCCAACCACCTCCTGGCCAAAAACTCTAAGTAAACTCAAAGGGGCACATACAAGAAGACACAAACATAGGAGAAATACTGGAGAAGAAAGATTCTAGCAAGAGAGGAAGTAAGAGGGGAACGGAGCACTAAACAACTAAACCTCGTTCTATAAGTGTCAGGAGATGTAACTCAGTTGTCATGCTCTTGCCTTGCTTGCAGGAAGCCATGGGTTTGATTCCCAGCATAAAACAGGCATGATGGTATGTGTCGGTAATCTCAGTACTTGGGAAGTGGAGGCAGGAGGATCAGAAGTTCAAAGTCACCTTCTGCTACATAGTGAGTTTGAAGCTAACCTGGGCTATATAAAACTACGAGAGAGAGAGAGAGAGAGAGAGAGAGAGAGAGAGAGAGAGAGAGCGAGAGAGCGAGAGGGAGAGAGA